GCCGCTGAACGAGGTTCAGGGCGTTTTGAAACACCAGGTACCGACGTATCTGACTCAGCTCGGTCCCCTCCATCTCCAACCGAATTGTTGACGAGTTGATGAGCAACATCCATCGTGGAGGTGGAAGCAACAGCTTGTGACTGCGATCCAGGCTCGATCAGTTCGTTCTTCACAATTTCATTCAATTGTTGCTCCTCACGAGGTCTTATTTGATCGATGTGTCGTTTTATTTCGCGATTTTCGTGAGTAAACAAACAACTATAACTTCTTGGGCCAAAACATTTTTTGACAACTGCAGGCGACCAACTTGCTTTGTTCGGATTCTTGTAAGTTCTTACATAAACCTTCTGCCCGTGTGAAAGCTTAATATTTCGTTTGCCTCTAAAATTTGCAATCATTGAATGTTGCTTTGCTTCAATTATGGCTTTCGTAATTGGTGGTTTTAATAAGTTGAAACGAGACTTTAATTCTCTACCTAATAATAACTTAGCCGATGACTCATTTGTAGTACAATGTTTAGAGATGCGATAATCAAAGAGAAAGCGATGTAAAGCAGTATCAAATTCGATTTTATCATTGGATGATAGATTAGCGTACAATGACTTTTTTAACGCTTTTACAAAGTTTTCGGCTTGACCGTTTGTGGCTGGATGGCCAGGTGCCGTAAAAATATGGGTTATACAAATTTTCTTTGTGAAATTCTTAAATTCTGACGATGTGAATTGCCTACCGTTATCACTAACCAACGTATCGAATAATCCGAATCTACAGATGATCTACAGATGAAAGATGAAGTTATTTCCTTAGTTTTGAAAACCTCTACCCATTTAGAAAAAGAATCTATGACTATGAACAAGTAAAATGAATTAATCGGGCCACAAAAGTCTATATGTATTCGCTTCCAAGCTGATTCGGTTGGTACCCATGGAATTAGTGGGCTCTTTTCAGGGTTTTCCTGTGTCCTTTGACAAGAAACACATTCCTTAACTAACGCTTCTATATCTTTGTCTATATTAGGCCACCATATGTATGAACGCGCTAGCATATTTGTCTTTACAATGCCTAAATGAGACTCGTGTAATATACCCAATACAGTTTTTTGGAATTTCAAGGGAATTACAGTTCTGTATCCCCACAAAAGACAACCCGATTCTACAGTTAGCTCAAGTGCTTTTAAACGAAAGGGTTCAAACTCTTTACTTTTTAACTGAGATACTGTGCCATTTTGAACACCATCAATTACTTTTGACAGTACCGGATCTCGGCGAGATTCTTTTGCAACATCTTTATAATCTAATTGCAACGCATTTACAAAACCTACGTAACTAATATAGCTAGGATCTTGATCAGTTTCACCAATTGTTGATTGTGACATGCGTGATAAACCATCGGCATTATTTAATGTTCCCTTTGCGTATTCAATTCTATAATTAAAGCCTGACAAGATTAACGCCCACCTTTGCATCCGAGACGCAGCCATTATAGGAATACTTTTATATTCACCAAATATAGTTAACAAGGGCTTATGATCTGTGCGTAAATGAAAGGCAAATACATATTGTTTCAATTTCGTCACACTATATACAATAGCTAAAGCCTCCTTTTCTATTGTGCTATATCTTTTCTCGGCATCATTCAACGCTCTGGAAACGAAAGCTATTGGTCGCAAATTGCCGTCTGAACAAATATGAGAAAGTACACCGGCTACTGCTGAATTGCTAGCATCAGTTGATAAAACTACAGGTAATTTGGGATCAAAATGTATTAAAACACGATCTGAACATATTTCTTGCTTTATATTACTAAAAGCTTTTTCACACTACCTATTCCAGTCGAATTGTGCATCCTTTTTTAACAGCTTATACAAAGGTTCCATTTTATTTGCAAAATTTTGTATTAACAAAGAATGATAATTAGCCATCCCTATGAATGCTTTCAACTCACTGACATTAGTGGGAGTTGGTGAATCCAACAAGCTCTTAATCCTTTCTTTATTTTTGCTTAACCCATTTTTGTCGATGTCGAATCCTAAATAGGAAATTTTATCTTTAAAAAATTCACATTTATCGATATTTAATTTAAGTCCTGCATCTTGAAGCTTACATAAAACTTTCTTAAGTAATTTTAAATGATCTACAAAGTTTGGACCAGTGACTACAATATCATCCTGATAAGCCAATACTTTTTCGAATTCACTTAATAGACAATCAAGAGTTTTTTGAAATATTGAAGCAGCGGGTTTTACTCCAAAAGGCAATCGAGTCATTTTGAAAACTCCTTTGTGAGTGCTCCACGTGCAAAGCTTTTGTGATTCTTCATCTAAAACAAGCAGGTTGTATGCATTGGATAAATCGAGTTTGGTGAAGATTTGTCCACCTTGCATAGAGGCAAAAATTTGATCAATCCTTGGCAACGGATATTTGAAATCAGATAAGAACCTATTAATTGTGGTTTTATAGTCCCCACACACCCTTAATTGACCATTAGGTTTGATAACTGGGACCAAAGGTGTACCCCAATCAGAATGATCTACGGGAATTAAAATGCCACTTTTCACGAGTTCATTTATTTGAAGCTCTAACTTTTTCCAGGCTAAGGGAACAGCACGTGGTTTGCAAAATATTGGACTTGCTCCCTTATCTAATTTTAGACTTACGGTTCCTAACTTGTATCGGCCCAAACCAGTCTTGAAAACTTCAGAAAATTCGTTTTTAACTTGTGTTATAATTTCATCATATGAATTCACAAAATTAACGCCTCTCATTGAAAAAGATTTATTTTGAACTAACTCGAATCCAAATGCACGCAAGAAATCTCTTCCTAGCAAAGTCGGTCTGTCTGCATTTGTTACAATTATTTTTCCAAGAACTCTTTGGCCATCAAAATTACAAGTTGCTTTAAACTCACCCAGCGTCTTCAATAGTTCGCCACCATAGCCTGACAATGGAAGTTTGCATGGTTCCAGTTTTTCATTCGAAAAATCTTTGCGAAATGTACGTACTGACATCAGTGAACATGGAGC